ATCTTATCAACTCCTGCTTCATGCGACAGGCTTTAGTCATCTCAACACCTAACCATCCAGTAAAGCCGCTTCAATTTTGGCGACTGCACGAGCTTGGAGAATTCCTGCTTGCGGCAGAAAGAAACGACCACTGCGTGCAGAATCCGAAACCTGCGGAAGCATTGGATCTCAAACTGAAACTCCTAAACTAGACCCGGAACCAACCCTTTGGATTGCTCCCAAACTGAAGACCATAGTTCGACAGTGTGGATCGAAACAGGTGTTGAGTTGCATGGCTTCAGGGTGAGAGCCCGCATGCAGTTCAGGGTTAAGGGTGTGATGACCGGTGGGGCTGCTTTTGGTTTAAAGGTTTGGCGGGAGGCCTTTTAGAAGGTTTGGCGGGACATGGTTTGGGTTCGATGGCGCGCCATGCTATCGGGGGAGTCTAATTAGTTTTCAGGGTTTGCGGGGTATATTTCTGCTGCTGGTGTTGGTGCTTGTCGTGCTGCTGCTGCTGCTGCTGCTGCTGCTGCTGCTGCTTGTCGTGGCGCTGCTGCTGCTGCTGCTGCTGCTGCTGGTGCTGGTGCTCATACTTTTAAAATCGCCTTCTCATTTGGCGATTCCGGATCATCATATATCTGATACACGCCCCCTCATTTGGCGAACACGCCCACCCGTTTCACCAGATATCTTAAACACGCCCCCTCATTTGGCTATTCACGCCCCATCATGTGGCGTTTCCGGTTCATCATATATCTTAAGCTGCCCTGTCATTTGTATGTTTGCAAAGGATAGGCTCGATTATCCCATATCGTCTGAAACAGGCCCCCTCAGTTGGCGATTCCGTTTCATGATATATCGAAAACTGCCCTGGCGGTTCCGGCTCATCATATATCAAAACCACGCCCGGTTCACGGTTCATCATATATCTTAACCACGCCCTCTCATTTGGCGATTCCGGTGCAGCATACATCTTAAAAACGCCCCCTCATTCGGCGATTCCGCTTCAATATGCATCCTAAACACCCCCCCCTCGTTTTGCGATTCCGGATCATCATATATCTGAAACACGCCCCCTCAGTTGGCGATTCCGCTTCATCATATATCGTAAACTGCCCTCTCATTTGGCGATTCCGGTTCAACACATATCTGAAATACACCCCCTCCTTTGGCGATTTCGATTCAGCAGATATAGCTTAAACACGCCCCCTTCATTTGGCGATTCCGGTTCAACATGCATCCTACTCATGTGGCGATTCCGGTTCAAGGCTCAACATATGTCTTGAACACCCCCCCTTCATTTGGCGATTCCGCTTCATTGACGCTTCATCAGATTAAACTAAGCACGTCCCCTTATTTGGCCATTCACGCACCATCATTTGGCGATTCCGGTTCATCTTTTTATCTTAAACTGCCCTGTCACTTGGAGGTTCCGGTTCATCATATACCTCAAACACGCCGCCTCATTTGGCGATTCGGAAAAATGATATATCTTACATACGCCCCCTCATTTGGCGATTCCGGTTCATCATATATCGTAAACATGCGCCCTCATTTGGCCATTCCGGTTCATCATGCATCCTAAACATGCCCCCTTATGTGGCGAAAACCGATTGAAATTCAGAAAACAACAGAAAACACGAACAACTACCACAGAGCACATAAAAGCCAGTTTGCAATTCCGGCTCATCATATCCAGAGGAACAAGGAACGAGAGGACGAGAGGACTAGAAAACCAAGGAACTGCGACACGAAGCACTTGAGAACCAGAAGACCAAAGGAACATGGATCGGGTGGCCAGGCGACCAACGGACACGAAGACAAGGAGGCCAGAGAAACCAGAGGGCCAAAAAAGATGTAGCAGAGAGTTGGAAAACCGCGGGACCGGGGAAGCACGGGACTTTAGGGTTTAGGGTTTAGGGGTTTAGGGGTTTAGGGGTTTAGGGGTTTAGGGGTTTAGGGGTTTAGGGTTTAGGGGAGCGCAGGACCAGCAGACCACAAAGCCACGGAAGCACCGGACCAGCGGACAGGGGGAGCGCAGGAATAGGACCACCGGACCAGAGGATCAGAGGACCACCTTCAAGACAAACCTTTTGACCTTTTAGAAAAAAAACTGGTCCAGGTTAAAAGCTATAAACCTAAACCCGAAAACCCTAAACCCTAAACCCGGGTGCGTCCTTTGGTTCGGAATCCGCACAAGCCACCCTAAACCCTACAAGCCCTACGCCCTAAGCCCTAAACCCTACCGCCTTCCTAAAGACACTAGGAAGGCCTTGGTCCCGGAATCCAAAACCGCGAACCCTCCACTTTTAGGGGTTAGGGTTTAGGGTTTACCCTAAACCCTAAACCTTTAGGGTTTAGGATTTAGGGTTTAGGGTTTAAGGCTTCGGTCCTCTAAGTTGAGGGTGCCGTCGCCTGAGTCATCGATCGTTTGGAAGAGACGCTTCACCTTCCTCCCGAGACCCAGGAGGACTTGGGTTTAGGGTTTAGGGTTTAGGGTTTAAGGTTTGGGATGTAGGGCTTAGGAAGTGGGGTCTGGGGTTTGGGGTGTAGGGCCTAGGGTTTACGGCTTAGGGGGGTTCAGCTCAGGGCGTGGACTCCGAGATCCAAGGCCTAGGGTGCATGGGAGTTACTGATCACGCATGTGCTGAGCATGCCGACCACTTTCGATCGAATTTTTACGTTCTTGGGTGAAGGGTCCAATCCCTGAAGCCGGCTTTCGAAATAGGGGACCCTGATATAGTACCCTAAATAGTAGGATCCTTATTATACGGACCCCAAAATAAGGAACCCTAAACGCCTGAATGCAGAGCCTCAACTCGACATTGAGATGTCCAGCCTAGACACGATGAATGCATCCACTTTCCAGTTCTCCCAACACCGGATACCCCTAAATGCTAATTCCCAAGACCCTGAAGTCGAGCACAGAACACCTCAAAGTTGCGTTCCGACCCTGTCCTTGTATACATCTGCGCATCCTGAGTGGATATTGCGCTTTTGCGTCTGTGCGGTTCGCTCAAAACAGCATGTGAGTGGCTTGAGACGTTGTGCAGATCTGGGGTCGTTGTCTGGGGGAGAGGCATCGCTGTCGCCGTTGTTTGATAAGCCCTTAACCCCTAAACCCGAAGCCCTAAACCCTGAAGGCTAAACTTAAACCCTAAACCCTAAGCCCTAAACCCTAAACCCGAAGCCCCAAACCCTGAAGGCTAAACTTAAACCCTAAACCCTAAGCCCTAAACCCTAAACCCGAAGCCCTAAACCCTAAACCCTGAACCCTGAAGCCTAAACCCCAGCGGCAGACACATGATGCAACTGGTCTCCATAAGCCCCCGACTCCTAAAGTCGCGGTGACGACAGCAAGGACATTTCGATTAGGGTTTGGGGCTTAGGGCTTAGGGTTCCAATCATAAGAGTATTGGCCACAGAAGGTTCGTAAGAAGCAGCGTAGGGATGATAACTGTAAGATGGTAACCATAGCCCGAATCCGATTACCGAAGTGATTTTCAAGATGATTTCTCGGCTCAAAATCTTAGGGCTTTGGGTTCAGGCATAACCGCTCGTCAACCCTAAACCCTAAACCCCTAAACCCTAAACCCTAAACCCCTAAACCCTGAATCCCTAACCCCTAAACCCCTAAANNTTCTCTTTCTGCTTGAAGGCCAGCTCCTCGTCGGATCCGGCGGTTTTCATCGTCTGCTGCACGAAAACCTTCGCTGTGAATGACTTGGGAAAGTCTGGGCAAGCCTGACTGAAAGTATAGTACAGTATAGTATAGAATA